AAATTATCTGAAGTAGTGGAAGCTCTATATATTTAATGGGGCACAAACATCTTAATAAATATAAATATGGGATAATAAGTATGCTTTACATGGTTTGATTTACTTTCAGTTGGGATGCACCAATACAACACTGGTATCGGATATCGGCATCAATACTGGAAATATTGGATATATCGGTTTAATGATATCCGTTGAGGCGATACATTGATGAGGCCTTTCAGTGGATGTAAAGCCAGTATTTACAGGATTAAAACCCAGTTTTAACTTTTATTCAAACAAAGTAATTCTTGGCAAGACAAGAGTAAATAAATTGAACACATTTCGTGATACTTCTCTGTGTTGGTTCATATCAGGAAGATTTTGGAAGATATTGAACTCCATAGTAAGAAGGAGATTGGTATCAGATATAAAAAAAATGCTGGAACTTGCATCGCTATATCTTTGTATATTTCTTCACTTCACAAACAGTTACGGCAAACGACTACTGTAGCCACGACTGCCCTGGGACAGACAGACAGACAGAAAGAGGCCTATCCACAGGTGGCGCCACTGAACCCCAAACCAACACCAACTCTTCTCTCACACTGGTTCAATTATCTTACCAAAAATGTTCCAAGTTCAAGAGTCTACAAAACAATTACTCCTTGGCCAGTGACTACTTGGATGTACTATTTGCATAAATAGTGATTCAGAAAGAAAATCATTTTGACAGACATGCAGATTACGCTTGTGTTTATTCATTACAGAGTGCCTCCAGGCCGTGATGACCGGTCAATGACCACAGGGGCAGAGTGCTAGACAGAAGAAGCAGCAAAAAAACCTCTGCATTCAACCTCAACACTCAACATTTATGGACTTTATCAACATTTATGGATTTATGGACATTGGTCATCTGCCCCAAATGGATCAAAGGCTCTATGCGTTTTTTATCATTGCATTTTTTGTGTTTGAACTGTTTGATTCTCGGATCTGTGTTGGCAAATTCAAAGGTTTTGGTAAGTGCTCCAAGATAACTACTGTTGTGATATAGGGCTATACAAGAATACATTGAATTGAATTGAGTTTGCACATGGAAAAAACTATCAAAACAGATTGATGATTGTCCTTCCATCATCTTAAAATGTGATTGTCTTAAAATTGGTCGGCGATCAGATCTAGTCAGTATTGCACTCCCAACTTTATTGAGAAGTAAGTAAGTAAGTAAGTAAGCTTTATTTATATACCGCCTTTCACAGACCAGAGTCACAAAGCGGTTTACAATTGTTATTTTTTGGGCACTTGTCCTCTCACTCCACACAGAGATGGGAGTGGGGTCGCCGAACAGGAGGCGCATGCCAGACCTATTGTACATATTTTTAGTGGTAGGGGAAACCGGAGTACCCGGAGGAAACCTACGCAGACACGGGGAGAACATGCAAACTCCACTCAGAAAGGCCCTGGTCCGGCCGGGATTCGAACCCAGGACCTTCTTGCTGAGAGGCGAGAGTGCTATCCACTCAGCCACCGTGCCGCCACAGAACCTATTTGCATGATAGTTCAAATATAAATACTTCAAACTGTTAGAAAAAAAACAATGCTTTTGGTGAACCTGTCCTCTATATAACCATGGGAATGCCCTATGTTTTTAATCTTTCTGAAATCCATGAATACATTATAAGATACAGAATAATAATTGCCAAAACGTGCTACCCATGCGTTCAAGATCCTGTCACCATCACATTGTAAAACATCGGAACAGAAAAATGACTCACGCATTTGGCACATTGCCCAGCTCCAAGTTTTCAGTATAGTCACAGTATAGATTATATGACAACCATTACACATTTTGCACATTCAAAACTGAAACTAAAACAGTTATCAATAGAGTCCCATCTATATCCGACTGCCATGCTGTCTCACTCCACACAAGTTCATATTTAACCACGTTGCAGGTTAAATTAAACTTTCTTCCACCTGACCCTCTGCCCCGGCTTCGAGCTCCACTTCCCCTTCCACCAGACACCACCACTACCACCCCTCCACAGCTGGAGCTACCCCCACCCCCGACCTCCGCTCAGCTCCCTGCACCCTTCAGAGCGGAGGACATAACCGGCAACACCTAAAAATTCAAGGCGTTTCCAGAGACTGCCTTCCACTTTGAAATATACACCCTGACTGGGTTGGCTTATGTAGTAAACCCAACAATATGGGGCCAATAGGACAAGATTCAGGCACATTAAAGGCTGGGGTGACTTACTTTGAAACTAAAAAAACAACAATGTGATTAAACAAATGGACTGGACTATTCCTAGCAATCAAAATAGTTTGATTCTATCACTAGTTTTCGTATGTGTCTATTTTTAGCCTTTGCCTTTTAAAGCTTTTTCAGGCACAAAAGCTACTCAAATCTCACTATGTAAAAGTTAAAATGTATTTCAGGTAAGCAAAGCTTGTTGTGTTCTATATTATCCGCACAATGTTACTTAAACAAGACTCTTTCTGTTGGGACAAACACAATATATTTTTCAACAATATCAAAAGTTAGGAACTCCAGCTTTAATAAATGGCTTATATGAAGCCAAACCCTCTCTTTTAACCATGATAAAACATTGTTCCCTCTTCAAAAACACACCTGGAGTGGTTTGTCGCTCCATCTAAATTATTGCAACTACGTGACCAGGCTCTCCACCCCTTCTGTCTAAATGCTCCAATCACAAACTCGTTATAATATTCCTCGGGCTATGATGTCACAGACAGAGCAGTTTTCTGGCTATAATAGACAATTTGTGCAAAATATACTTTTTAAAAATCTTTTTACCATGTTACTTTGTTTTAGATCCATCCAAACTAAAATCAGACCTGTCTAAAAGTTCTTGTCTCAGTCCTGTAATAGTATGATGTAATTCAACACTATGACATCACACTGGGGGCAAAAAAGAGTATTGGCCATAAACTAATTTTGGACAATTCGCAAGAGAAAAAAAAAATTCGTGGCTGTGTTTGCAGCTGTCAATTTTTTGAATTTGGAATCATAAGTAAGCATGTATTACCCTACATACTTGTCTCACCATATATTTTCAATTTGAGAAAATGAAATGACAAAGTGAATATTGTCATTATCCGTTTGAATTGCCAAAAAGTTTTGCAAATTTCTCACACTACTGCTCTTTACAGCTGCATGCCTCTACTACACACTACTATTCTAAATGTTTACTAAGATAGCAGTAAGTAAGTAAGTCAGTAATGTTTATTTATATACCGCCTTTCACAGACCAGAGTCACAAAGCGGTTTACAATTGTTATTTTTGGGCACTTGTCCTCTCACTCCACACAGAGATATGGGAGAGGGGTAAGATAGAAGTGATCTACTCTATATCGGTGTTTATTCATGTATTTTCTACTTTATGATTGTGGTTAGTTCACATAAATACTTCCAAGGGGCCAACATTACCACAGATTATACATCATAATTGTGTTTTAAAAGAGAAATTGTATATTATGTGCATGGTGGAGTCTCTTTTTCACAATCAAGGCTTCCACCACCACCTCTCTCCAATCTCTCTTAGTCAAAAAAGTCAAGCCAAAATGAGATATTGGGATCATGTTCTCAAACTTGGAGACAAAAACTACTTAGCACTTCATCAACACCCAAAACATTCAAAGCAAGGTAAGTTTATTTGCATTGCACAGTTCATACACAAGGCAACTCAACGTTCTTAACTTCAAGTATTGGGTGTATTCAAATGAATGTCCCTTGCTGCAATACTGTGAAACGCAACTATCTTGAGCCTGGTTGTCTATTTTTCGACCAACATACACAGCACATCATGTAAAATAAGTATGCATCTGTGGCATGGCTAAACACAAACTACACCAATATAAGCATAACATGACTCCTTTATTAGTCATTGCTCTATAAGCACGTGCGCCGAGTGTTTTTCTTGATGTGAGCAGCAGAAATGACACAAAAAAGGAAAAGAAAAGTGTGGTGTTTATGCTGGAGATGGGGGGAATTTCGCACTGCACACGCTGACAGGGCAGAGGCTTCGGCCACCGGTTCACTCAGGCAGGTTGCTTTATTGTTACCAGCTGTTGGGTCTCAAGCATACATATAATAAACTATAGAGTGATTTTACAAGTGTTTCAGCAAAAATAATCCACCTGCCAATCACCCAATACTGGCTCTTAAGTGCATTATATACAACACATGGTACATTATATACAAAATATGGTAACTGTAAATGCAAATATTACCGTAGCATAGGGAATAAGGATGATATTGGTGTGCATCATATCCAGGCAATAAGGTCTAAGTAAGAAAGTCATCTCTACCAACGATCACAAACAGAGTCAAAATTGTTGTGGGTATTTGTCCTTTCACTCCACACAGTGATGGAAGTAGCGTGCCATACCTATTTTTCACGTTTTTTTAATGGTAGGGGAAACCGGAGCACCCGGAGGAAACCTACACAGACACGGGGAGAACATGCAAACTCCACATATAAAAGCCCCGTCTGGAGGGGGATCAAACCCGGAATCATATTTCCAAGAAGTACTTAAGCCACCGTGCCGACTTGTGATTAAACTTATCACGTGGGCTATGCTTGTACTTGTGCTTCAATAACTTTCAGCAAAAAATCATAATCAACAAATATAATGAAAATCCAGCAAACTCACTGTTATTATTATAGAAGTTGCAGTGATGAGACGCTTACTACAGCGTTATGTTGCATTATGTAGTGTTTTACAGCACAACATACATCACTAATAAACATTAACGTAGCCTTTAAAAAAAAAAAAAAAAAAAAACCTCTGCAAAACTCCAACTGTCAATGCTTTTATAATATGACTCGAAACATGTCCAGGCAACCCGCAACGTAAAGCCAAGCCTCAAGTTTAACGTGAGAATTAAAACAGCCAATCAAATCAATAAAAATAAAAGAAAAGTCAAACTAAAAAAAATTTAAAAATAATACGCGCGGGTCAAAAATGATTATAATAATAACTTTGAATATTCTTACCCGAAATAGGCTGCGGTCGGGGCGGGTAGGCAGGCCACTATGAGCGTGAACGACAACCATCCCAGGAGTAGGTGTCCATCCAGCATTTTGCAGCGGCGCGAGGGCAGATCATTTCGTAGCTCCTGAGTGGCTGTGTGAGATCCCTGCTTGGACTCTGCACACTTCTTATACGGGACAGAGGCAGCGCGCTCCTCCCCTCTCGGCCCGAGCGCCTGGCCTGCCTATCTGCCTGCCTGCCTGCCTGCCTGCCTGCATGCACATACATAAACGCGCTCTGCTCTCTCCTCTTTCTTTCTTTCTTTCCTTTTTTTTTGTCATTCTTTCTGAAATATGAAGGGGCTGCCCAGTCTGCGGCGATGGGCTGTGCCTGCATGCAAGATGGAAAAGGCACGGGGCTGAAGTTTCATTCATGTGTTGTGGATGTAAAGCAGAGGAAGGTGGTGAGAAGTGTCTTGCGGCGCTTAAAGCTGGGGGACTTAACTTTGTTTTCATGGATGTTACGTGTAGTTTGGAGGGAGAGAGTAAAAAGAATAGTCAGATGTGAGCAGATCGCAAACCGCAGACCGCAATTTCTGTCTTAAATTTATTAAACATGTTGTCATTTGTATGTCTGTGAGAAAGAGCCATGTGAGTCACTATTTGACTCTCTGGGCTGAGTGAAAAAGCGGATGTGACGAGAAGCAAAAATGCGATGCAAGGAAAGGCAGGTTTATTTGTATAGCACAATTCATACACTCGGCGTCTCAAAGTGCTGAACAAAACTAGATAGAAACAATCAAAATCACCATACTTTAAAGGAGTAAAGATAAAACCCCTCAGTTGTGTGCACAGCTAAACAGAACTGTTTTTAACCTGGATTTAAACATGGTCAGAGAAGAGGCCTGTCTCACATTTTCAGGAAGACTGTTCCAGATTTTCAATGCAGGAATCTGAAATGCTGCCTCCCTACGTTTAGTTCTGACTCTGGGCACCAGCAGGAGGCCAGTCCCTATGTGAAAACTAGTGATAGAACCAAACTCTTTTAGAGTCAGGATCTAGTTGCATGCATTTTTAGTAGTAATAGTTACATTTGTTGTCGTGATTGGAAAGTTAAGAACCTCAGCTTTAAAGTGGACATGACCTTTCACAAAATACAACATTGTTACAGTAGAATTACAGCAATTTGACTTCCTGCTCATGATTGATGACATCACGTATGTCACTATATAATCTTTCCCAAAACTCTTCCAATCTACTCAAAAAATATAAATTATAAGAATACGTTTTTATTTATATGGTGACTCATTCAAATGTTGTTGTAAAACATTCAAAATACAGTTCTGTCCATCCCATTATGATCTCATCAGTCCGACAATACTATATTTTCCCATTTTCCATCATAAATTGAGACTTTTTGGTGTCACTGCAACAAACAAAACATCTTAAACATATAGAAGCATGGCTAACCACCCAAAACCTGTTTTTAATGTTGTGTTGTCAGTAGAAAGTACAGATATTTTGGTTTATTTGTTACCGGTAAGACGTTTTCAGAAGAGCAGTAGTCAAGTAGTGATACCAGGAAACAATACAGTACTTAACTTACTGTATGTACGTCTTGCAGAGCATATTAAAGGGAATTACACCATGGAGAGGTTCAGAACTTTATGAGTTTATTGTAGTCAGCAGGCGTGTTTCACAAATATACAACTTATTTTATACCTTAATTTTCTATGGTCTTTCTATAGTCTATGTGGTCTATGATCTATCTATGGTCTTTCTATGGTCTATCTATGGTCTATCTATGGTCTTTCTATGATCTATCTATGGTCTTTCTATGGTCTATCTATGGTCTTTCTATGGTCTATCTATGGTCTTTCTATGGTCTATCTATGATCTATCTATGGTCTTTCTATGGTCTATCTATGGTCTTTCTATGGTCTATCTATGGTCTTTCTATGGTCTATCTATGGTCTTTCTATGGTCTATCTATGGTCTTTCTATGGTCTTTTGGTGGTCTTTCTATGATCTTTCTTTGATCATATGGTCTATCTATGGTCTTTCTATGATCTCTTGGTGGTCTTTCTATGGTGTTTCTTTGATCATATGGTCTATCTATGGTCTCTCTATTGTCTATCTATGGTCATTCTATGATCTCTCGATGGTCTTTCTATAGTCTATCAATGGTCTTCCTATGATCTATCTATGGTTTATCCATGATCTTTCTATGGTCTTTCTATAATCTCTCTGTGGTATATGGTCTTTTGCAAGCAATGACGACGCAAATAAGTAATCATTTCATGCTATCAAGCAGGGTTCTCATTGACACCATTCATTCAGCTGTCGCATGATTAAACCATTCTCAACGTGGATGTTAAATAATATTATCAAATGCTGGCATCCTTTAAATTGTCTACATGAGAAACCCCCTATTTAGTTTATTTTCCTGTGCATGTACTTTCCCAGCATTCCCAGTCATACTTGCTTACTGCTTACATTCCCAGTCACACCAGCTGAGGAACGCTTACTTATGTATTTCTGTCTGAAGCCACTAAATAATATACCTTTGCACCTCTTCTATAGATCGGCGTCCTCCTGTGTGGTTGTTATAATGAGTCCCGACTGGAGCTGGCCTCTTCACTGTTCGGGTTCTACATGTTTACCTTCAATCAGCCACAGTTTATTTCCAGTGCTCGGCGAGATTGATTCGGTTAAATCAAACACTACGCCACATAATGTAGACGTATTAGCGTGTGCATGCTTTGGATTCAAAACAGAAAGTCACTTCAAAACACAGGCGAGAGAACTTTCAGCATGGAACTGTAAACGGTGAGGATTATGCCAAAGGGTGAGTTTCAGGTTAACAATGTCATCCTATTCCCTATGGACCAATGGCTCCTTTGTGTTTCTTATTATTGATCCTGTGCTCTAATTATTTAATTCTCTAATCTACTGTTTGACAATATTGTACAGTCCTCAGAAGCGACTGGTGCAGATGGCTCCTCAGATGGTGGCTCCTCAGATGGTGGCTCCTCAGATGGTCATGTGTCATGTCATTTTCATCCCCTTTATTGTTCCATTTCTGGGTTGGCGGGGTGGCAATCCGAGCTGCCACTCAAATCACATAGCACCGGCCCCTTGTTGATCCTCCTGCAAGTGGTGGGTCCACGGGAAGATGGTTGCTGTTTTTTAATTGTGCTTATGGTTTTATCTATATTCTTGGTTTTCATTAAACTGGCCAGTAGGGGGCGAATGAGCAGAGTCGGAACAACTCAATTTTGCTCCCATTGAAAACCATGTAAATCGTGTCTGTTTTGGAGTCAAAAGGCTCTCATCCTGTGCGGTGTACGGTTGTTGTAACAATCTTGATCGAGGACACTCAATTCTAAGGGAGTACTGAAAAATATTTGTCAAAAGAGTCTTGATTTCGGGCATTTTTGGAAAGAAAAACAGAAGAAATTGCTGCATTTCATTCGGGTGGTCTGCAGGGGGCGCTTATCTGGGAAAGCCTTGATCCACCTCCCGCCTCATTCCAGTGATTCTTTTCAAAGTGTACTCCTTTATATGAGACCACAGTTGGAACACGGAGAAACTCTTGTCTTTCTCTCTATTTGTGCGGTTGCACCAAGCGTTCACCGCACAAAAAGATGGCATTTTGACAGCGCTTCTTCTTCTACTATATCTCCGTGTATATACCCAGCGGACTGCACTGCCAGGATACGTCACGTCCTGTCCTACGTTTGTTATTCACGCCACTGCCCTGGCGTCATATGAAACCCAAGAATTCATCGGGTGGTTGGATAGATGGGCCAATGAGCATGCAGGATTTTTTTCTAATGAACTCAATATTTGTTTGAATTAAGTTTACTTGATTGATGACGCCAAGGTGTAACAGCACTTTCTGGTAGCTCTGTTTTGTGAGATCATTTTACCATTCATTTTCTCTATTCTTTTAACCTACATTTAGCCACATGGCGTGACCTCCGCTCACATCTCTGTAATGATTCTACAACTCAATATACAGGCAGACCAACACAGCGCCTGCCTCTGTTAACCATTGAGATTGTTTTTCCGCAGATGAGTAACTTCCACACCACCACCACAACTTGAGCAGTTCACTAAATCCTCATTGTCACCGCACGGCATGTCACCACATCACAAGCCTTCATAATCAGGTAATGGATAAATATTAGAACGAGCTTCATCAATCAATGGACAAATCGCACTAATAATAATGATTTGGGAAATGGAAACGCCTGTAGCACGCCAAATCACAACATATTTCCAACATATTTGACTGTTTCTGAGGATGAAAACCCAAACATTGTGACAGACACGTTCTGAATGGAGTTAACATTTCTGATTGGATTATTTATTCAACGAGTGTAAGTGATTGAGAAAACACACATCAGCACATAAATGAGACTATTGCATGATAGCGGTGATCCAACACGCAAACATGTCCTTAGGTGATCACCGAACGTCAGACATATGCATGATACTTTGCTATAAAGACCAGGACTCTCCAACCTTTTCCCCCTGGAGAGCGACTTTCTTGCAACAAAAATGGCAGAAAGCTACTCCCTTATGCGGCCCTGGGATAAATTAGTTGATATATTGGTGAGAACAAGCCTTGGATATGGTACTGTCACTGTCAACAGTCATTATTTATCATCACATATGAGTCCGAAGGTTGTGGGTTTGAGCCCACCGCGAGACCTTCTCCACCGACTCCCACTGATGTCTGCTGTCATTGTGTCCTTGGGCAAGACACTGAACCCACTTTGCCCATAAGGAGCGCAGAAGTGCTGTTCGCTGCCCTTCCGTGTATATGTGTATGTATCAAACTGAAATTTCCCCATTGTGGGACAAATATAGGACCCTTCTTCTTCTTCTTCCTTCTTCATATGTGTAACAACTGCACAAAGTAAATTTACATTTACAATAGTTGTGAGCAAGTGAAAAAAATATACTAAAATATTTCGCGCATTATTTGATTTGTTTATTTCCATATCCTTTGGGGAGCTACCTGAAAGGGGGTGGCAAATGACCTGCAACTCCTGAGCTACAAGTTGGTATTGTAATTTTATTGAATTTTGTCTTGTTTGTA